CCGGTTGAAAGTGGGGGGGACTATTCAACCAATTGGTCCATTAGGAGTAGAGATTATAGTCTTACCATACATGGATTGATTACCATACGTGGATTAATTGTGATTGATTACCATAAATACGTTGGGTATTGTCGGCCAAACGAGAAAGAGAAAAACCGGTGGGAGGGGGTGGTGGGAGGTGGGACAAAGAAAAACCGGTTGAAAATAAACCGGTTGAAATTAAACCGGTTAAAAGTGGGGGGACTATTCAACCAATTGGTCCATTAGGAGTAGAGATGCTTGTGTTGCAGGATCCATTCTTGCTGCTAACGGGCCCATCCCGTGCGGTAGTGTACCTTGGTCCGATCACATTTGAAGTCCAGCTAAAAGTAAAGGGCGAAGGAGAGTCCGAAGATGAGATGCTGGCTTTTGGTGTCTTCTACTATGATGATGGGAATGCTTGTGCACGCAAGCTCTCTATGTCTGTCCCCTACAAGCGGTGCACACTCGAGTATGAAGTGGCGCTTCGGCCACGCTCGGTCGAGGCCACCATCAGTATCAAGGTCATTGATGGGTCATGGCCAGAGAACCACCATGGACAAGTCGTTGCCCTCACCTCCGGTGTGGATGGGAAGGTCATCCTGCTAGACGGAGAACTGCCCGTCGGTCCGGACGGCGCGATCGAGCTCTCAAGGCGAGTTGTTTCTGTGGATTTAAGAGAGAAACTGATAGTTGCTGTGGATGCTTCCCTGTCCGGTTTTCCCGCGCAAGCCACCGCCGAATTCATGCCGGAGAACTCTGGCATGAGCGGCCGCATTTGCGACCTCGGTTCCTGCAAGATTCAAGTCACCGTTGCTTGGTCCCTCTTTGTTATTGTTTTGTGAACAGACTCTGTTGGGTGGTGCTTGGTGGTTGCTCGACCGCTTTTGAAACACTAGATCGTGTTGTGTAGTGTTTGGTGGTTGCTCAACCGCTGTTGAAACACTAGATTGCGTGGGTAGTGTTTGGTGGTTGCTCGACCGCTGTTGAAACACTAGATTGTGTGGGTAGTGTTTGGTGGTTGCTCGACCACTGTCGAAGTGTTTCGAAGCTGTCCAGCTCTGTCTGTTTAGCCGTTTTCAGTGGTAGTGTCCCTAAAGCTGTTGAACTGTTCCTGTATTATCGTGTCATGATACTCGTTGAGCGAGCTGATGTTAATTATGGTACTCAAACTTGTTATGATTTTTGCTCATATCAGATGTGAACTTGCTTCTGTTGTACTGTAGGTGTCATGTTGTATTCTAATATGTCATTGTGTGCCATTGTTTGGCAGTCACCTGGGAAGAAAAAAAAAGGGTAGGAAGTGGGTAAAATGCAGGAGACAAGATGAACGGAAACGCTGGAGCTGAAGCTGAATCTGGAGCTGTCCTGTGAAGCAGACTGAAACGCTGAAGTTGCAGCAGTTTGTATCAAGTTCGGTACATAGTATTGTTTTCCAGCTTCTTGTTACAAGCCCAGGGCTGTCCTTTCTTTCTGCACCAAAGTTCCCAGGAATGTACTCCCTCTGTCCCAGAATATAAGGACGTTTTTGACACTATGCTAGTGTTAAAAACGTTCTTATATTTTGGGACGGAGGGAGTAGTTGATTACTTGTGATCAGTTTTGGTGGGGCTTCATGGAACCCAAAAAAGTTGAGGGGAACTGTAGCTCTCCTTGCAGCATGACTATTTCATTAAGCATCGGTATATGCCCGCTGCTGTGAAGTACTCCCTCCGTGGGATTTTACCAAACCAGTTTGGCCTACACATGTTTTCGGTTACAACAAACTAAAACTATATTTGGTTAACATAACAAATCCATGGATAAGTAAATCTTGGCTTTACTAAAACTGAAAAACTGAGTTTATGGAAAAACGATAATTAGACGTTTTTCTATAAACCAGTTCATCATCCGCCGCCCACGACCGGCATACAGCGCAGCTGGCCTGCATGTTGCCGTCGCCGTCTACCACAATACAAGTCCTTTCTCAGCAACGCATCCCGCACCGGCCACGGCCCTCGCCGTCCGGGTTGTCCCCGGCCGCCGCGGTCACCGTCGACCACTGGTCCTACCCCAACGACAACTCATCTTGCGGCAGTCGCCATCGACGAACCATCGGTCCTTTCCCGGCGAGCCCTCATCCCGCGTCGTCGGCGGCCGTCGCCAACTCGCCATCACAGTCGACCACTGGTCCTCCCGAGCGGGCACTCCTCTCGCGTCCTCCTCGCCGATGGCGGTCTCTTACAAATTTGATCTTGAGATTTTGTGTGGCAGCAGCAGATTCCTTGTATGCTCGTTCTTCTTCTTGAATGACTAGAGGCTGGGGCGCCACCTGGTGGCGCCTCTTGAGACGGGACTATGTGCAGTTACCTTATATCGACACATTCAATTATCATGTTTGGTCCTCAGTCCCACTCATGTACATCAATATGAGCGTATGCTATAACATCAGGATTTCTTGCTCTCTTTGATGTAGTCATATGAAATATTTACAACCATTCCTTGATGAATCAATAAGAAATAAATAAAATCTGAATAAGCTTACAACAAAATCAATTTCAGTGTACATATGATAGGTTGCTCTGCTATCTACAAAACAGAGATGGAAAAGGGAGAGAGAGCTGCCATTAGATGGAAACCTATATAAGAAAGAGGGAGGAACAGGAGTGGGAGCAAAGAAGCTAAGTATAGGTAGACTAAGGCCTTATACAATGGGAGGTGTTTAGGGGAGGTGCTTAGAAAAATAAACTAGGCTTTCCTTAAACACTGATGCTTATTTATACAGGGTAGACGCTTAACTAAGCGTCTCTCCTGTAGAAATAGGCACCGGTGCTTCAGAAAATCTCGGTTTATTTTTCTAAGCACCCCTTTAAGCATTTCTCATTGTACAAGGCCTAAGCGTCTATCCTATACAAATAAGCACCGGTGCTTAAGAAAAGCCTGGTTTATTTCTCTAAGCATCTCCCCTAAGCACCTCCCATTGTACAAGGCCTAAGGGCAGAGGTGAAGACCTAGGAGAGGGCGAGTTGGTACTACTTCCTGCCATTGTCCTCATCCATCTCTACGTCTCCTCACTTCACACCACCTTATCATCGACCTTTTTAGGAAAGAGATTTACATAAATTGAGATGGAATCCAGTTGACCTAAGATGTTCAGCAAAACAAACTGTTAGTGAATTTTTCAGACAAAGAGATGTACATCAAAGTAAGCAGAGCTTCTAGCAAAACTGGGCGTTTTATGTTAGAACATAACCTGACAATCTGTATCAAAAAGATATCTTAGCTAGAAATTTAAGCAACACAAGAAGATCACACTTGAGTGGTTATAATTACTTACGGATTCAGATTCTTACTTTTCTTGTAGAGGCCCAATATCCTTAATTACTCGGAGTAAATTTAACTTAAACTAAATATCTAAGAGTAAGCTTTGGTTGATGTATTCTACAGAACCGATGCAAAGGTCTGAAGCTTTTAGCATTCTATAAAGGCCTTATGATTGTGCAAAAGTTACAGCTATAGGAATTACGTAACCACAAACCAACGGGAGATACAAAGTAACCACCGCCACCTTGTCGAACCCCACTCCGCCGGTCCTCTTCCTCGTCAGCCCTGGCGTAAGATGGTTAACATGGTTAACATCACAAAAGGGCATGGATGTTCCATTGTTGAGTATCTGAAACATGTTTATCCTGAGGATAATAAAACAAGGCTTCATACCTATAACAACGAAAGATGGCATTGAAGTCGAGAACTAATTTTTTTACAGAAAAAAAATAGAACCAAACCTCCTTGACAAAATGCAAGTTACCACTGTGGTGTGTAAACCAAATAAGGAATGCACCATACACAATACACAGAAGATTAACAACAAGTATAAACTGAATAGTTCCATCTGCCTAATGCAAAGAAGCACACTTTTTTATATACTTAGCTACATCTCCCAGATTCAGTAACAAACTTATGCACACATAAGCCTTGTTAAATGAAAGTAGTCGCAAAATCATTAATCAGGAGACAAAATAATTTTCTGGAACTTGTGGCATGGTGCACTAAAATGGGCATCCCGACATCCTCCTTGTGAGATGACGCGCAAGAAATGGTAATTTTGTTCCACTATTAGGAAAGAAACAGAGAAATAGTAAAACTCTGCAAATCTGAAGTATCACAATTAAATTTTTAGTCTGTTGTCTTAATCTGTACATTACATGACCAATGTATAATAGTACCCTACCTTCTTCTAAATGGCTCTTGTGATTTTTTGAGAGTGCAGACCAATGAGATTAGCTTAACTAAATTATCTCGCAATTCCATTAGAGACTACTACAGCAGCAGCAAGAAAGCATCATGGTTCAAGTTATGCAACTACCAACCTGTGTTTTATTGAAACAGAAGAAACTTAGCTTAAGTACATCATCTTACAACTTCCTTAGAGACTACCAAAATGTGATCTCATGCGGAAAAAAAAAGTAAATTGTTCAGCTTAGTATCATGCTTCAGCTTACACAACTACCAAAATGTCAGTCTAAGCCAACGGTTTCAGAAAAAGGATTATGAGAAAGGTCACCCATTCATGTGATTCAGATTCGGACTACCACAAGGTCGGAGAAGTTAATCGTCATTCACGTTGGCATCATCCGCTGCACCGTTTTGCTCTTGCGGTACTGTTTTTTTTATCTAGTTTACTCTGTTATGCTTCAGGCTTCATTTTTTTTTTTGCTTTTGAAGATTGCAAATAGCAGAGCAATTAGCTAAAGACCTTAACAATGCAGATCCTAAACCAGCAGTGCTAACTGCGGACCGATGCCAATAAAGTAACTACCAGTATTTTCTTCCCCCGGAAAACCCACAAACATTCAACATAAGCATCAAATTCGTCACCCAAATTACCCAAAACACATAAGAACAACAGTTCAGACTTCAGTGCATACTCCATAGTGCATACTCCATAAGCACTGATCCTGATAAAGATATCTTGCTAGCCTGCTACTCTAAAAAAAGAAACATGCATTTAAGTTAGATCCGCCCATGAATACAGGCAAGGAACCATGACAACCAAAATTGAACCAAGCTTTTTCTACTTCATTTTGAACCTCAATCAAAACAAGACTTTTCCTTTTTGAAACTTAATCAAACCACGATAGATTGACAACGTGAGAAACTGAGGAAGAGGAATTGAGGACTTACCATATTGGAGGCTTGGGAGATGGACGAGATGAGCAGTGAACTAACCCGACCGCCAGCTGCTGCAGAAAACCGGAGTGCCGGAGGAGCCGCCAAATCAGAGAACGAAGACGAGGGAGGTGCACCGTGCTAGGAGGCCGGCAGCCAGGACCTCGGAGAGGGAGGATCGCCATGCTTGGGAGGCAAGGAGCGGGGACCGAGCATTGGGAGGGGAACCGGGAGGGAAAGGCAGGTAGGGAGTTTGGGATGGAGGTTGTAGAGCTCGATTCGCAGGCGGATGTGGAGGAGGCGATGCCGCGCGACAGGTCGGGCCCCTCGCCGGATAGCACGCCATTCGGTTTTGGCTGTGGCGACTGAACCTAGCCGGCCTCCGCTGTCCTCTCCTCTCCCCCAAAACGCCACCGCCGCCAGCAACTCAGCTCGCCCTGCTTCGCCCGCGGTCTCCGCTCTGCTCTGCCTGTGATGGCCGCCGTGCCCACTCCTCTAACGTGCCGATATGGCGGCGGGACGGCCGGGCGCGATCTGGAGAGCCGGCAGGCGATGGTGGTCGTGCAAGCCCGCGGAGGACGGGATCACACCCATTCTGCGCTGCTCTTCCCACCCCACCACCGCAGGCAGGCGCTCTTGCCCCTGCTCCTGTCGTCTCATCTTCCTCGGCCATCGCCGGCTTCGCCGCCCATTGTCG